TCAAAGCATACTGAGCATCTTTCTCTTTGACACCATGTCTGAAATCCCACGTGATCTGTCAAATACTAATGCATGAAAATCCTAACCTCAAAAAAATCACCCGTTATATATATTATATGACTTTGATGGTACTTTGCGAACCCCTTAACATATTTTTTAGGCGTGTAAAGTTCACGACATACAACAATACGACTCTTACGACACCGTTGTTAATACCCCAAATATGACTTTGATGGCACTTTCCGAACCCCTCTATATATTTTTTAGACGTTTAAAGTTTACGGCATACAGCAATACGGCACTTACGACACCGTTGTGAATACCCCAATGAAATGTTTCTGCATAATTGCAAATATTCAACAGTTGGCAGCATTGCGCAAAATAGTTGATTCGGGTTCATGAACCAAAAAGACAAGATCACGCGGGCTGGAGACTAGCCCGTTAGAATCGCATTTAGGACAAAAGTTGAACGATTTTGACATTAACCGTTTGTGTACTTTTACGTTTGTTGGCTTTTTACTGCAATTTTCTTCATTTTCGCTTGTGACAACGTGTGTACACATAAGATAAAGAACAATTTAACACAACGGCATGATTTATAGAAGAATTTGCATAATAAAAATGATTTTTCATGCGTTCAAGAATTTCGCGGTTTTCTCCGTTCTCTTCGTTGTTTACTTCTTACAACAAAGATGGCGTCGAGATTTCGGCAGCTAGAAAATAACGTTTTTCTTTCTTTCCTTCCCGCGTGATCTTGTGTCTTTTGTTCATGATTGGAAGGCACTACCGGAAGTACAGGGTGGAACTATTTGGACCTTTTTCAATTTTCGTTTCTGTTTTGATACATCTTTTGCTCGACTGACGGTGCTGCCAGATCCAAAATAAAGTACGGCCTTAAGGCTTCCGCGCACTTGTGTAATTCTGTCAATGAGAATCGGTACCGAAAAATTATAACCGTCTACCCGTTGTGCAGGCATTCTTTGTTTACGCTTTATAGGTACTAAGTAGTGAAAAAGGGAATGAATTCCTTATTTACTGATTTCAAAAATTACATTAAGGTTTTTGAAGAAGTGTCAGCGCAATAGCGAGAAATTAAAGATTAGGGTTACGGTTATTTTGGCCTTTGTCTAAATTTGAAAAAGCCGTCTCAGGAAATGGTCCTTGCTATATTTACATTTGTATTTGAATTTCATCTATATAAATTTATTTTACATTGAACAAAAATGCATAACTCCAGTGTTTTAAATCATGGTAGGGCACATACATGCTTTTGCATCTAAAACTTCATATTCCTAGTAAACAGCTGTTACATGGCGTTGACGGACTTGTAGCTCATGATTTAATGAAATGGTGCCGAAATTGATGGTTAATTTATAATTGAATTCAGGAAATTATGTTTAAGCAGATAATTTTAATCCAAATTCATGAAATGATTTCGTGAATTAGCCTACACATAAACGTAGTAACACAAACATTCCATGATGATTTCGTGAATTTGCTTACCCGTAAACGTAGTAACACAAACATTCCATCATAATTGACGACCAATGTGCTGAAGGCCTAAGGTGTTCAATATCAAACGTCTGGTAGCGTTATGCGGTATTTATAAAAACAAAACATAGCAGTTTGACTTGCAACGGGTTTTCATACGTTTCCTGTGTTTCGCGTTTGCCTCTTCTAAATTCATTTAAATAAAATATAAGGAGAGCTACTATCAAATTGCATAATGTTTATGGTTAATTGCAACAGATGCTTTCGGCCAAAAACTGTAGAGAATCCAAACAGGTTCTTTATAGCCAAATGTAGTCACATCTTTTGCCAAGAATGCTTGCCAAACAGGCAATGCCATGTCTGCAACGCGCTCTACGACGCCAAAGCTATCGACGCCAATATGCCCAAAGCAATGGCAGAATATTTCGATCGACCGGAGAAAGCATTTCGTAAGTTCCAAAAGATACTACAATTCCAAATATCGCAGGACGCATTGAACGCTCATTATTGGGTAAATTTTATGCCACTTCAAGTTCAAGAAGAGACGAGGAAACTGAAAGGTATGCTAAGGATCTATACACATCTGGATGATAAATTAGCGCACGAAACGAAGCGAATTGAGAAATTGAAAGCTTATATATCATATAAAAAGCAAAGTTTCAAAGAGCTGAGTCAAGGCCATCTGCGTCCGGGCCGGGGCCGTTCATCAGCGATTCCATCATGCAGAAGATATAGAACCCAAAGTGAAAGTATTAAATCGCCAACAATAAGCACCTTATCTGACGTAACCTTGTCCAGTGGCAATTGCACAAGATCTACAGATTTGAGCAAACACAGTGATCTATTTTCTGATCGTGGTCGACGTGATTTTACTATGTAATCTTCATAAAATGAGCGCTTGAAACATACATACATATGTATTTACATATATATGTTTATATATACATATTTTGCTAGATTTAAATATTTAAATATTCGTATCATGTATATGTATATATCGACTGCTGAGTGGAAGATTGACCTATCGCTCTATCTCAAAAAACTTTTCAAGAACGCCCTATTTCAGAACTCGTTTCAAAAACGCCCTATATCAGCACATTGATAGGGCGTTTTTGAACCGAATTCTGAGATAGGGTGTTTTTCAATAAAATTCTGAAATAGGTCGTTCTTGAAAAGTTTTTTGAGATAGGGCGTTTTCGAACTGGCTGCCGAGATAGATCGATCTTCCACTCAGCAGTCGATATGTAAGTATTTGTGGTGAAAATAAATACTTGTAGATTGAAAAAATCTGTAGTTGTTTATTTAATTAGGGATTGTTCTCCATTCCAATTTTAGTTGAGGCATGGCTCCCTCGTATTATGCAAAACTATCGATAGCGAATTTACATAGTTAATTCCGTTATTATACTTTCCCTGGATACGCAGATTTGTTTTATTAAGCAGATTGTGACATTTCATGCTATCATACCTAATACTCATGGTGGAATAATACAAGGTGTTGGATATTGACAGCGTTCTCGCTCTAATCCGCCATCTTGGCTCCCTTAGCTATATCAGTGNTATTGGCATTCCAGCTACATTTGGTCCGGGCGTTGTCGAGCAAAGGCTCTCGTACTTGGAGCAACTTATTGACGAGGCAAAAGCGACAGTTGTTGGTGGAGATTGTGGCAGAGCCATTCAACATTCTACCACTTTTCACCCAGATGCACTATCTTTATTCGATATGCCAGCTGGTACATAATTTAAAACTGCATTAATAAATTAATTGTTTCATTCTTAAATGTATAGACATTGCGAACAAACTAATTTACTTGTAATTTGAAAAATATATTAAAAAGTAAATATATTTAAAATCACTATAATATATATACTATTTAAATAATTACAATGTGTACGAATTTTCGTCTTCTGAAGTACATTTTACGATTTCTGAAGTACAATTTACGGTTTCTGAAGTACAATTTACGGTTTCTGAAGTACAATTGACTATTCTGAAGTACATTTTACGGTTTCCGAAGTACAATTGACTATTCTGAAGAACATTTTACGGTTTCTGAAGTACAATTGACTATTCTGAAGTACAGTTGACTGTTCTGAAATACATTTTACGGTTTCTGAAGTACAATTGACCATTCTGAAGTACATTTTACGTTTCCTGAAGTACAATTGACTATTCTGAAGTACATTTTACAGTTTCTGAAATATATTTGACGCTTTCTGAAGTACTCTTGGAAAAGGTGTAGACTTTCTCGCATTAATTTTTATTAAGATATACGCAAATGCATTCCGATCCAGCTGAAGATTATGACAAAATTAAAGATTACGTACAACAGAAAGAAGTTAAACGTCATATGCGAACATCAAAGAGTTAGCGAATTTAAAACAATTTGGCAAATCATTTATGCATTACATTCTGTAACCCATTAGCAACAATTTTCATCACTTCAACGAGTCGACATTCATAACACACGTAAGCAAGTTGCGATGGCGATCCGAAAATTGTTGCTACGACCTTCGCGAAACAACCTATTGTGTATGTAAAACTTACTGTAAAATAAGACGAAAAAATATTTAAAAATATTATAAAGACATGTACATTTAGGTGGTAAAAAAAAGTAAAGTCGGAATTTTAATACTCTCACCCCCTAGGATTGTTCTATACCGAAAAAATATACATACATCTCTTTTTTTTTGAAATTTAAAATCAAAAAATATTTAGAGTTCGCTCCAAGCGTCAAAGTTTTCCATGTATTTTATATAGAAAAAACAACTTTTCGTAGATGTGGTATATAATTCTTGAAAATTAGTATTTTCCATCGGAAAACTCTGGTTCTCTTCAGGAGACCTACAATAATAATATCCAATTGTTTATTTAACCATTTTTTAATACAAAAGATTTTTTATTTGTCCCTCCATTGCATTTTCTGGGGTTTCCGGCGGACCTATAAAATATAGTTGCTATAAAAAATGGTTAAATACACAATTGGTTATTATTATTGGAAATCTCCCGAAGAAAAACAGTTTTCTGATCGAAAAACATTCATTTTCAAGAATTCTATACCATTCCTACGAAAAGTTGGTTTTTCCCCTAAATAAAATACATGGGAAATGATGTAATGTGGAACGATTTTCCGTCATCCCTTGTCAAATTTGGTTTGGAGACAAACCGGTTAGTGAAAAATAAATCGATAAAAACCTATTTCTAAAGAATTAAATATTCTTTCTTCTTTACTGTTTTAACATATTAAAACAGGGTTTATGTAATTTATTTTTTTACCAGAGATGGCGTCTTCGCTGGAATGGCCCTTATGTTAATTCCTGTAAATTTTTTATTTTACGTAATTCCGAGTGAATTTCAACCCCTGCCAATTTGAATTCAAAGCGAACCTACCTCATTGTACATATTTCATAATTCGATGTGATATAACCCTTCTTTCCACGTTGCTATGTTCCACGAAGTGGCGATCCGATGTGTTATCTCAAAATAGCTCAATAACGTTTGTATTTCGGAATTATATTCCGGTATCAGGGCGAATGCATAATTTACTTTTTCTTGCGGAACAGAGGCGAGAGCTAATAAATATTTGAAATTCATAACGAAAATTGAGCAGGTTTTATATAGTGTTTGAAGCCCTAATAATTGAATATACAGTGCACTCGAGATAATTCGAACTAAAGAAAACTGGACTTGTTCGGGTGAAGGAATTGTTTGTGTTTTCGAACGCTCTATAACTTTGTTCACTGTGAAATTTTACAGTGCGTATCCAAATTATAGATATATTTTGCTCCGATATAAATTTTATCCTTTTTTCCCCTTATTTAAAAACCATCCAGCCAAAAAATTGCAAACTTACTACGGCCATAAAAAAATTTTTGCTGAATAGATATGCAGAAGGATTTTGGGAGTTTCATGCTGAGTTGCAATCATTCCGCCCCCGAAAATGACCATGAAATTGTAGCACAAAGTTACATTGAAAATGTTATGAACGTTTCGCAGAAAACTTAATCCTAATTATGAAGCAAACATCAAACTTTAATTTGGGTTTTTTACTTACATACTCTGTGGGTCAAGAAGTAATTGTTTTGTGGCTATACATATGTATGTATGTAGTTACTAAGCAAAGTATAAAATAGTAGGAATATTGCGAGCAACAATGGGCAGATATCGTTGTAAATGTATTTTCAAAACATAGTTAAAATAATTCTGACACAATTTAGCTCGGTTTTATTATCGGAATATGCCGCTTTTCTATCGAACGAGCGATAGATAGGTGCGAATACATACATATTATGTACACAGTGTTGCCGCGGCGCAAAATTAAATTTACCAACAACAACTTATTTAATTAATTTGGGCTTTTCTTACCAAGCTTGGTAAATTGGTTATAGAAATAAAAAATAAGCAAGTAAGTATGTAAAGACAAGCTAAGGCTCAGTTTTGTCGTCAAAAGTAAGGACTTTATGTATAGTCTAACGGATGCTTAATTTGAAAACTCCAATAATCGTGGCAGAAGAACACTCAGCGGTTTGAAAATGCGAGGAATTTTAAAATTGATTGAAATGGTAACTCATAGTCAGTAATCTATTTTCGACGAAAGTTGTACTTTTTGAATACTTTAATAAAAAAAATTTAGCCAAACGAAGAGTTTAACATTTTCATAGGTAGGAAAAAATTAATCAATTGTGCTTAAATTTAAGCATAATGGCAACGCTATACGCTGTATGTAAATACTTATGTATGTATGTATGTGTGCAATACTCGTAAAATTAATACAACTACAAAATAAACCAAAAATTCTGTTGCTGATCTAAGCCACAAAGATTTTGCTACCTTAATAACAAAACAGAATGTTTCCACACGTTTTATAAAATACCGTAGATAATCTCCTCGATAACCAATTCAATTACCAGCGATTATAGATACATATGTATGTATGTATGTATGTATGTACATAGGTGTGTGTGTGTGTAAGTGACACTGTTGAATTTAAAGAACTATAAATTTGACTACTCCTATGAATTGGCCATTAGTCAGTGTGGGAATTTTTAGCGGAGTGCTTTCGAATTGAAAATGAGGAGACTTTTCCCTTTGTTCTTACTGGCAAATTGTGTTGCTGTGCATATTCCTGGTGTGCCGCAGGAGTTTACTGCAAACGATGTTGTCCTCTCAGCTATTTCCGGTAGGTGATCGCAAAAACACGCACTTATCACGTTAGACCACGTCAAAAAAAAAACAAAAAAACAACCCCTGCAATGCGTCCAGAATAAGACTAAAATTTTAGCATTTTGGAAAACGGGTGTTTTGCATACAGCCATAAGCAAATTGGCGTGGTAATATAATTTTTATGTTTTTATGGATTGTGGCAGACATGTGAACGACTCGTTTTTGGCAATAATAATCGGATAAGTAAAATATCAGCAGACATACTTATCACGTGAATTCGAACTGATTGCTACCATTGGAAAAGGCGATTTTATTTCTACGGTGTCTCAATAACAACCAGTCGCCGGTGGAGACTTCGTTACAATTTGAACAATCGTGAGCTCACTATAGCTACTGAAAATAGTGTTGCCGTGTTCATATAAATGAATACATTTTAAATTTTGAGGGATACTTCTTTTTGTGCCTCGGTGCAAATTAGGATACCTTTTCCTATAAGTACGCGTAAGTTGATTAGACTGTGCCAAATAAAATAGTCATCTTTTATTTCGTTCGCATATGAAAATTTCGTTGTCGGTCACAAAAAAATAGTTGTGGCAAAGTTTCAGCCCCCTATCTTAAATTTTCAGTTAGCGCTCGTAAAAATACAAATTTTTAATGAAAAATACTTTTTCCTTTTACTTTTGTTTACTTTTTTTTTAATAAATAATTAACAAATAATTAGACATAACAATCGCGGTTGTTGATTCGTGAATGACGAACTCAGGAAGAATGAAAGGGACGGACACGCAGCTACTGAAACACTGAGACCGGAACGCGACCTACATCGTCAAGTGAGAAGTTCCATTAATGTCCAATTAAATCGCGCAGATTTTCAGTATGACTGAACCATTGACTAAACCTAGCTGATGTGTGTTACGATTGGCCCCATAGGAATGCGATTAGCCAATAATATATATTGCGTCTAAGCCTCATTCGGGGACACCAGCATTGTGTTGGTTATAGGGCTGCAAGCCGGATTTGATCCGGAGCGGTTTTTGAACCGAACCGTCGCTGTTTTTCGGCCAACGAACCGAACCACGAACCGAACCATTTTTATTTTAAAAAACAAAAACCGAACCGAAAATCCACTCCAAAAAATGGTTCGGTTCGGTTCAAAATACGCTAAAGCATTTTTCAAAATTTGTAATACACAACTTTATCTAAAAATGCAACCCTATGGTAAAACTGCAAATATTTTTGAGTTTAATGGCATCTTTGAGGATTATAATTTCGTGCATATAAAACTTGCTTGAAATGCTTTTTTATATGGAAGAAAATGCATATCACCGCCAGCAAATAAAATTCAAATCCGTAAAAAAATTGCCAAAAATAAACATAAAATTTTTTTCTAGAAATTTTCATTAAGTTAGAAGAAACTTGGTTAAATTGTTGTTCTTCTTTTTTACTTAACCTTCCGTCGGTGTGGAGGGATGTTTTTCTACCCCAGACGTGTAAAAATTAAAAAAAAAATATACGCAGAGTTACTGAAAAAGTCGTCCTATATACTAACGACTTTATTATTTAGGCAATTTCGATTTTATTTGGTTATACGACATGATGTCCAAAATTTAACCATTTTCGAGATATTCGAAACTTGTGTTTAAATCTTAGTTTAAAGGTCCGATTTTTTATGTTTTTTAGTTAAAGGGTATGTTAGTTAATCAAAATGATCAATAAAACTTTAACCAAGCACTGACAGTTAAAAATGGCTGTTTGGCAAAGTTTTGTGTTTCCTACATCACATCATTAAAAAAAATTGTTTGTATATAAACTAGGGCTGTGCGATTAATTGATTACTCAAAATTTTAATTAATCATAAAGTAAATAACTCAATTATTCGATTAATTGGAAATTATGATTACTCAAAAGTTCAGTTACTCGAGTAATCAAGGTTTTTGATTAACCAAAACAAAAATATTTGAATAATTTGCTTTATGATTAATCAACATTTCGAGTAAAATGAGTAATCAACATTTCAACTCTTTACATATGTATAAAGTAGTTAAAGTTCCTTGATACTTTGAAAACAACGTTTCTGTTTTCAAAAATTAAAACGAAATTTTTTTTTCATTTACAGAATGTAAAAAAGAAGTACGCATTTTCCAAAGCAAACTCTTTTAACGAGCAAAATTATTTTTTTTGAGTAATCATATTTCAAGTAACTCGATTAATCATCGTTTTGAGTACTCAAAATCTTGATTACTCGAGTAATTGATTAACCGAATAATTGATTAACCAACTTGCTCGAGTAATCGAATAATCGCACAGCCCTAATATAAACTTTTTCCCAAATTAATTTTAAAACTAGTACATACGTCTTTTTAGCTATCCGAAAAAGTGGATTGCGGGCTCAATACTGGGGCCCTGTTCTGTGAATACGTGAAGCGAAAACATTTTTCATCACTACACACAAAATTGCGATTCTGTTTTTAAATGTAAATAAATGAAATTGTCTAAAATTTTTCACTGTGAAAACTTTTTTCCACAAAGTTTTGTGGCTGTGAAAAAGAAAAGTTGGAAATTTTTCTCTAAGCCATCATCTTATGATAAAGAATATCATTGCCTTAAACTCACCATAATTTACTTGCTAGATGTTAATGGAATGATTGAGAATCGCTTAAAATGATATAAGGAAACGATAAAGTGAAACTGAAAAAATACGTGACTAAAACAAAAACTCAACAATTAAAACTTGTTTATTCTTTATAATTCGTTCTCGGCATGACCGTACCTATTCCTGATACCAATTCTCATTATTTTTTTTTAAGTCATTTTTCACGGCGATTGTTCTTAGAGGCTGCCTAGTGAATTTTCGTTTGTTTCAGTACATTAAAAATAATCGATCGAAGTCATCTCATTATATATGTACGTGGCGTTTCATTTGACCCCACACGTGAAAATCCATTAGAGTTAAGTCGGGGCTCCTATCCGGTAAAGGTACTTTGTAGAGTTGGGCACTTTAGTTCTTTTCAGTGAACTATTCAGTTGTAGTTCGTTCACCTCAGTGAACTAGTTCAATTAACGAATACATTTACATATCGACACCTTTGTGGGAGATCGACCTATTTCGGCAGCCAACACATTTTCAATATATTTTCAGTTGAGATAGGGTACTTTTAAACCAAGTTCTGAAATATGGCGTTCTTGAAAAATAAATAAATAAATATTACATACAAAATAAAAACTTCGGTAATTTGAATTTACATACATAAAAAACGTTAGTATGAATACAAGTAATTTTTAAGCAAAAAACAAAACCGACTTCAATTCACATATGGAACCACGTTTGAGGTAACACATTTCCTTTATAAAAATAATTATAGAAATCGGTTAACGTGGTGCAAAGTTATGGAGTAACATGCATAAAAAAATATAAATATTCCGACGAATTGATAACCTGCTCCTTTTTTGAAGTCGGTTAAACAAGTTCCCGCATCAAACAAAAACTTTAACAAATTCAAGAAATATAAACATATGTATGATATGTAAACACTTATGTACATATTGCTGTGCAAAAACATTAAATTCGAAAGCTCTTTTGATTTTCAAAGCGTTCTAAGATAGTTTAATAGTTTTCTCTGCCCCCGAAAAAAATCGTTCGCAAGGAACTGAAGTAGCAACAATGCAAAAGCATTTTAAAGCGTATCTGCAAGGAATATTCATTGAGATGAATTAGTTCATTTAGTTCATATAGTTCAAGAACTACACAAGTCTAGTACATTGGCCTTCAGGTGAGAAGTGTTGATTGGCTCTCAATGAACGGCATTTAAGCTTGGTTTTAGCTCATTTGGATCATTGGATGAGGTATCTACGTATGACTGCCCTTTGAGATCTATGGCTTCTGACGTGCCTAAGAGGACTTTTGGCTTCTAAAAAGTGCCTGAGAGGATGGTCCATGCGAAAATATCGCTACAGAAACTGCTTACTCTGAGTGATGTTACGCATCTTGAATGGGGGCCTCGTTACGTAAATTTCGCTAAGTGCGAATTCTGACAGGTCTGAAGCTTCGCCCACTACGTCCCTCTAGAACTGGATGGAAAATCCATTTGTACGTTGCCAAAATCGTTTATTTGTCCTTGTCTTAAGCACTGGGAGCAGCGCTTCGACTTAATTGACGATTGCGGTTGCATGCGTGAAAAAGGAGAGCAAGCTGCGGGGGGTCTATGTTTTATTTTTCATGGCTTGGAAAATTGATCTATGTACTCGTACTTACTAAAATTAATTTACCAAATAACTCCTCTTGTTGTTTTTCAATGAAATTGTAATTTTTTCATCTAATATTTTAGAGGAAATTGCTCAGAAGTT